TCCACCAGTCATGTTCTAAACCTCCCCACCCCACCCCCAACCCACCCCCCACCCCACCTACCCCACCCAAAGAAATGGTCTCAAGATGTGCAATTGTCTGTGAAATATTACTAGCAATCTTACTTCCTCCTCTTGGTGTTTGCCTCCGCCGTGGTTGCTGCACTGTAAGATCCCCCTTTTTTCTATTTTTCTTTGTTTTAATTTATGTAAATCTATTTTTTTTAGTCAATTTTAAAAATAATAAACCGTTTCCTAATAAAGAAACTCCTATTTTAGGATTTTAATACCCCATCCATATTAGTTGTCCTCCTTACTAAATATATTTGGTCCAAAATAATTCTCAATTTAGAAAATTAAGGTATAATTTATTTCCATTTTATCCTTAGTATTAAGTGTCATTGAAAGTTTAAAAAAAAAACTAGCATAAAAAATCTAAATGGAAGAGTAGAAATTCATAAATAAAGAGAATATTTACTGAAGAGAGATTAATATGTTGAATGATTAAAGAAATAAGTAAGGGTAGTGTAGTAACAATTCTCTTCTATTAATCGTTTCTTAAGGGATGTATAAAAGAGAAATATGACAACTAATATGGATTGGATCTCGGAAGCAATAATGGTTTGTCATGTTTTACTTCACAAGTTTTAAAAGATTTATACTTTACGTTTCAAAAGTGTTTTTTTTTCTTAAATTCCGTCTCGAGTCTAATAGGTTCACATAAATTAAAGGAGAAAGGCGTATAAAAAAAGATCTTTTTACTTTTATTTTTAATTTTGTTAGTTTACTTGCTTTGGGTGATTGTTTTAAGGGAATTATTGATGTGAGTGTTATTTTTTGTTGTAATTTTTGCAGTTGGAGTTTTTGATTTGCTTGGTGTTGACCATATTGGGCTATGTTCCTGGAATTATTTATGCTCTATATATAATCATCTTTGCCGAGACTGAAGCACCAAGTGATCGTTATGACACTCTTACTTGATCCTTATGTTTGTGGTTGTCTTGTTTTAGCTTGTATTTTACTTATTATTTGGACATGAACTATGTATGTATATTGTATCCTATGTCACTTGTTTTGAATCAACTCTTGCAATATAAATATATGTAAGTTTTCAGTGTTTTACATGGATTCTTCCCTTTACATGCCTTTCTTGATTCGAGAGTATGTGGAAACAGTATCTCTAGCTTCACAAGGTTGGCTAAGGATTGCGTACACACTATCCTCCATATATGTCATTTGTGGGACCATACTGGTGTATTGTTGTTGTCGTCAATATGTTTATGAACTAAAGTGAGGTTAGGTAAATGTAGAAGCGGATCCAGGATTTAAATTTTATGGGTTTCGATTTGCAATTTTACCACATCACATCTTTAATGGGTTCAAAATTTATTATTTGTACATATTTAATAATTATTTGCGCAAAACTACAGAGTATAAACAAAAGCTATGAGTTCAGTTGAACCCATAGCATCTACACTAGATATGCCTCGGGCTAAATGGTGTTGGACTTAGAAATAGGGGTACATAAAAGATTATACATTTTGGTGCACAGAGAGATCAAAGTTCTACTTAGTTAAGCTCCTAAGTATAGTAACCTTGTCTCAATTTGTATGTCGTACTTTTCTTTTTTAAATTTTTGATATTAATGAGATAATCTACTGTCACACGAATACTTATTACTTGTTATGGACTACAAGTCTCTTTTTTCCCTTAAACTTCGTGCTAATCAATGATTATTCTCATTATAATCCCATAATCATAATCCTGGGATAACCTCTTAACCTGGAAGCAATCTTATGTTTTTCAAACAGGATATCATGAGGAAAATGTAACTATCCTATTTGTTAGGCTCAAAATTTATGTACTATAATGCATAAGATACTTACAATAACTTGAATCACATGCCGACTTGCGGTGGCGTATGTAGGAATTTTCATAAGCGGTTTCAATATCTGGAGATAAATAAATGATTGTAATGGCAAGTTGTATTATTTTTTATATTTGTACCCAATATTTTAATTTTACATATTATTATACATATAAATTACAAAAAAAATCCGACGGAACGGAGTCATGTAACATTGCTTCAAGCAAGGTGTCTGTGCCCATGTTGATGTGACATGACACATTTTCTCCATTGTTTTACTTAGGCCCAGTATATTTTGAGTGTCGGTAGCTAGTTGTACAAGTGATTTGCTTGGTCCAATTTGTATTAAATTGTACAAATAATTTGCTTTGGTCCAAATTCTCCAACTGTACAATGACCCCCAAAAAAGGACGAAGTAAAGGATAATGTTAAAGACATCCCTTTCCTCCTTATTTTGATATCTGTACTGATGTTGATTTTTATGAGGTGCAATATTATCACCTTCAACTCTGGAGGTGAATTAGGTACACTGCATGCCGGGGCGGATTTAGGGGCGGATGGGTATTCACCCGACCCTTTTCGCCGAAAAATTATATTATATATGTAAGGTAAAATCTGATTTTTATGTCTATATATTATGTTTTGGATACTCTTGACACAGCCCAAAAGCATAGCTTAGTGGTCAATAGGGTTCAAAATCTTTGTAAGGTCATTGGTTCTTTTCCCACTAGCTACAACCTTTTAACTTTTTTCGGACCCCCTTGGCGGTAATTCTGCCTCCGCCATTGACTGCATGATATGTACTAAAAAGTGTTTTCAATCACAGCCAAGTATGTAGTATAGTAATATCTAGTGGCGTACGCAGAACTTGTGTCACCTTTAAAGAATGGAACAAATAGCCTAATTACTATATTATTTATTTTCTCCTTAGTATAATTAGATTGGGCGTTGGCCCGCTAGTTCTAAGAAATTTTCATTTATAGGAGGTTAGGAGTTCAAATCCTGCTCAAATTAATTTTTTGCAAACAAATTAAGCTTTAAATTTGCACAAAAAAAAAAAATTGTAACTGAAGAGTTATGTTAACTAGTGTCACTCTTTTGTATTATATACGTATTTGATAAATTTTTCGTATTATTTGTGACACCAGTTTATTATACGTATATCCGCCCCTGATAATACCATGATCAAAGTTGGATCGAAAAGCAATATCAAACCTGTCACGTCTCTTTTGACTATGGTAGGAGCAAAAGAAGGTGAGATTTCACTTAATAATAGATGAGCGATCATATTAAATTGATGGTTCGCGAAACATGACCCCATGCTACATAAATGACAAATTATTTTGATGTGACGATAAATTATAATTTCGTTTGATGTAACATATATTTGTGTGATCAAGAGGGGAAGCAATTAGTGGGTACAGGGTTTAGGGTTCAGGCTTCCTATCTAGTGATATTATTGCTTCTTTCATCAAAACTTAATATGAATTTGGAAAATTCTACCATTTGCACACGATATAAACTTACTTAACAACCCAAATCTTAAACCAAAGTGGTTCATCTTGGTTTGACTTTTGAGTTTCGTCAAACCTCCAATAATCTGCATATAAATTGATATGTGAATCTAGGTTAAATTTAGTACCCTAAAGTTGGAATTAATATGATAAAATATAACACATATAAGTTAGATGTGCTTCCATATGTATAGTCTCTTGATCTTAGCATCTTTATTATAGCAAATAAGACCAAATTTTAGTTTGTAATTACTTTAATAAACTAGGGAGTATTAGTTGGAAATTAAGTTTTTTAACCACATATACCAACTACTAACTAGGAACTCGATACCAAACCAAACTAAATATTATAAGTTTTTTGAATTTATGATCAAATCAAATTAAATCAAACCTAAGTCTATTTTACTTTTTCTTTTGACTCAATTTATTAGTATGGTTCGGTTTACGGTTTTATTTGAACACTTTTGGCTTGACGCGAATTCGAATTAGTTGGACAAAAAAAACTTAACTGATCACTGGAATTTTTGTATCTTTATTTTACTTGAAGATCTTTTTATCCTGAAATTCATCAACATGAAAATAAAATTGCTCTAGTCTAGCTAGGTATTTAGTAGGTCCTATGTGTAATCAAGGCACATTAACACACAATTATTGGAGCATAGGTAGTTTCTTCTCAGCAAAATATGAGATATTTTTCTCATTGATATTTATGACAGGATTAATAAAATCTTATATGTGATCATTAATTATTTAGGAAGAAAAGGAAAGCAAATAGCACATAACAGTTTTTTTTCTTAAAAAAAGGAACCAAATTAATCAATATGCATGAAAATTGAAATTACACTACTTTTTAATACTAACATCAGCACTTTTTTTTTTAAAAGGTCGAGAAGTTTGGGAAAGTTATTATTGAATATTTGATTAAATGGATTAGCCGAACTAACAGCTATTCTTTATGGTCCATAATAAGTGATCTTTTGGTGTTTTTATTTTGATTCAAAATAAGTGTCCTTATTATATAATGGCAGAATAACCTAAATGACACTTATACTTGTGCCACTTTGTTATCCCGGTCCCCAAACTTGATGAAGTTTCATCTAGACACCTCTACTCGTTCAAAAGTAATATTTTAAACCCCTCTGACCATTGACCAAGTCTATGCGGCAACTTAATCGTTGAACTGGACAAAATCGTGTATTTTACGCATATAAGGAGCGTGTAAAAAATTTATGATTAAAATAAGGAAAAAAGAAAAAGAAAAATTCAAAAAATCAAATTAGAAAAGAAAGAAAAGGCCAAATAGGTGATTTTTTTCTTTCTCTTACGTTCTGTCGCCCACCAAGGACTGCCCCCCCCCCCCCCTCTCTATCTCCCTCCCTTCTTCACTTTGCTCCTCTTCCCCCATTTTAACCCAAAACCCACAGCAATGGTACCCTTCCCACCATATCTTCATCCAAACAATGACATCCCTCTTCGCTATTGATCCAAAACATCTACCAGATTTGCATCAACGGAGTTTTTTTTCTCACACCCCATTCCCTACTTTGGAAAATAGCCTTTGCAAATAAAAGAAATAGAAATAGTGAAAGAAGATCGCCGGTGAAACCTATTTTCTAGTTTTCTTGTAGTGAAATTTAAAAAAGTTTTGGGTGATGTTGGTCTTTCGGGTGGTCATTATTGATGGCCGGTTTAGCTTTTGGTGGTTGATTGATGATGCTATGGTGGAATGTTGGCTGTGAAGAAGCTTTGTGGGTGAAGGATGGTCGAAGAGGGGTCGCACATAGTGATGGTTAGGAGATTTTTAAGATTTATGAATGGAGAATACAAATGGTAAGGGAGGAGGAAGATGGAGTAAATGGTGGAATAAAAGAAAAGAAAATGAACAATTTTAAAATAGTGTGAAAAATAAATTAATAATGATGTGTAACAAAAAATTTTATGTGGCCACTGATGTGTCATCCATGTCAGAGATTTGAAGAACACGCGAGGTGAGAGGGGTTTAAAATATTGGCTTTGAACAACTATAAGTGTCGAGATGAATCTTCTTTGAGTATAGAGACCGGGATGACAAACGCTAACAAGTACAAGTGCCTACGAGGCTATTCTGCCTTTCTTTTTATTGATTCTTCTCTTTTAATTTAGGATTAAGTAGCTTTTATAATTAGTATAATTTTATATTTTTAGGATTCTTAATTCTAGGGCTTTTAATTAAAAAAAAAAGAGAGAGATATATAAAAAGAAAATTGGGAATAAAAGAAGAATTGGAAGAACCTTCTCCCACATGAGACTTTCCCCCCAAAAATATTTCCCCAAAATTATTCCCCCACATAAGACCTTCTGTCACGACCCAGATCCACTACGGGTCGTGATGGCGCCGGACACCGCTGTCAGGCAAGCCAACTAAATCACCAATTAAATTCTCTTTTTATAACTTTGAAAACCTAGGAGTTTTACTTCCATTTTTCATATATAAAACAATCTCTGTTTCAATTCAAATGAAGAAATTAACTATTAATACACATCTTCAAAGAAAACCATCCCAGAACCCGGTGTCACAAGTACATGAGCAACTACTGATAAGGAAAATAAAATACAAATGTCTGTCCGAAATACAGTGGACAGAGAATCAATAAATAAAGTACTGGAAGGGGACTACTCTAGCTGCGGGTCGTCTCGAACAATGCGGCTCACCAAGTCCCCAAATCATCCGTGCTGCTACCTAAAGTAACATATACCTGTGCAACAAAAATGCACAGAAGTGTAGTATGAGTACGTAATCAACGTGTACTCAGTGAGTATCCCGCCTAACCTCGAAGAGGTAGAGACGAGATGGTCAACCTGGACACTCACTAGCGGTCCAATAATAATATATTAAATGTGTGGGGAAATCATGGATTCATATAACACATTCTAATTCACAAAGTTGTAAAACAGGTAAACACCTTTTAACAGTTAGCAAAGGATTTTCAAGATTTTAATTTTCTTCATTTAATGAGTTCATCTCAAGCCATGAAAGGCAATGTAATCATTTAAGATTCCTCATGCATCAATATACAAAAGATATCATGCGCAAATCATACCAAGGCGACGGCCCGATCCAACAGAAAGTAAATGTGCACTTGCCGAGGGTCGACGACGCGCCTATAGATGCATCTATTTAATCTGCCGAGGCGTTCGGCCCGTTCCAAAATAAACACACATAGACAAACAGTCAGTCATGAAGTCCACATAGAGTAATTGTCCAAGGAAGGCCAATTCTCTTTAATAGTTTGAGAAAACGAAGCTTAAGTCTTTTAGAAATCCTTTTATAAATTTAATGTGATTTAAGCAATTCAAACCCTCAAAGGGGTTCACAATTAATCCAAATATAGCATGCTCAATCAATCAAGTAAGAACTTATCAGGAGTGTTATCGATATATACATATATATCAATTCCT